TAATTCATTTACCATGACATGTCATAAACTCAAGGAAAAGAAGTAAACATTTTCACAGTGCAGGCATCCCAGCAGCACCTGCCACATCAGAAACCCATAGGGTTGGCACAAATCCTGGGCATGGGTGATTTTCATAATAGGAAGCTAGATTAGAAAGGCACACATGGAGGAAATCCACGTTACAGAATGAGCACTTACGCTTGGCCAAACTTGTGCTGCTACTTAAATGTACTAGAAGCAATGTGAGAGGAACCGAATTCAACTCCAGTTCCTTATTGCTGTCTACCTTGCAAAGATATTCAGGTCTTTCTATTGTTCCAAAAGAAATAAGAAACAAGATTTATCCACCAAATCCATCTGTTGTTGGCAATGATTTAAAAAACAATATAAACAACAACTTATTCAAGTCCTATTTAGTACTGCAGTGAAATTGGGCAAAAGATTCTTCAGGATGAAAGTAAAAGACTTAGATTTAATTTTAAAGAGATGAAAGAAAACTCTTTTCTCAAATACTTGGCATTTAGGAAGAAAGGAAGACTTCCAAGCAGTGCCATTCTAATTGGTTTTTATAGATTTAATTTTAGTTCGGTTACAATTATAAAGTAATAAATGGGTTGCTTAAATTGTACATAGGAACTTTAAAACTAGTGAAGCTCCCTTATTCTTAAGAGACAGAATTTACATAGTAAGTTCAACTTTGTTCTTGATTTTACATATTTAAGAAAATAGGAATTTGGAATTGTAAAGGTTTCAGAGTTGGCTTAGTCTTGCTCTTGATTTTCAGTTGATAGCAATAATATTTAATGCTGATATTGGAAATACCTCCTTATTGGGAACTGTTGTAGGTGCCTTCCCTATATTTCAGCTAACATGATAATTAAATTGCAGGTTCTGGTGCTCGTTGACCAGAGCTGTGACCTGGGGCACAAGGGAGCTTCAGTTGTACAAAATATGGGATGAAAACTCAACTTGCTTTAGAGGGTTCTTGTAAGAAGGAAAATGAGTAGTATTTGTTTTTTCATTTGTAATGTAACACTGAGTCTTTGAAGTGCACACAACCAAAGTTGACCATATTCTCACCTTTGCTTGAGCATCAATGTGTTGGGACTATCATTAAAAAAACTAACAGTAGACTCATGTATATATGGCCAAGGTTTTTTTGTTTTGTTTTGTTTTTTTAGACATTTTAAGTACAAAATGACTAAAATGATGAAGGGGGTGAATTCAACTATGATATGTAGTAAGAACTTTTGTAAATGTCACAATGTACCCCCAACACAACAATATGCTTTGATTTCTGTCTGGTATTTTGCAGGGGTGTGTGTTTTTTCTTTAGAGATGGGGTCTTGTTACACCTCTCAGGCTGACCTTGAACTCATGATCCTCTGACCTCAACCTCATGAGTAGCTGGGATGACAGGTGTGTGCCACCACATCCAGCTAAATTTTTATCTGCTTATCTATTAATTTGTGTGTGTATATGTGTATGTGTGTGTGTGTGTGGTGCTGGGGACTGAACCTAATTGTTCACAAATGCTAAGAAAGTGCTCTACTTCTTACGTACATCCTTATCCTTCATTTACCAAATAAAGTAAAATATATCAGAAAGTCAGCAGTACTGGCTAGTGTGTAAAAACAATTAGGAATTACATACATATGATAGTCCCTTTTACCTGTGGTTTCTCTTTCTATGGTTTTAGTTACCGGCAACTAAACATCATCCAAAAATATTAAATGGAAAATTCCAGAAATAAACAATTCATAAGCTTTAAATATCTTTTATTACAGCATATTGTTATAACTGTACTACTTTATTAGCTATTGCTGTTGACTTCTCACTGTCCTAATTCATAAATTAAACCTTAAAATCGGTATGTGTATAGAATAAAAACATAGGATATATAGGTTTATTACTAAGGTTGTTAGGTATCCAGTGTGAATCTTCAAAGATATTCCACACGTAACAGAGACTCAGTAAAACAATGCCTTTATGCAGACCAGAGAAATGTTACAAGTTCAATATAATATGAATCTGCTAATTTCTTTAGGGTACATTAAAAAGGACTTATTAGCCTGCTACCTCTAATGCTTCACATTCATAGACTAATAAATTGGGAAGGATTGAGAGGTCATCTTGCTGAATACCATATTTAGGGATGGAAAATGACTCTTCAGGAGAGTAAGTGAATTGGTCGGGTGACATTGATGGTTGATGGAAAGAATACAGAACAAGAATGCCATGAAACACCTAACACTGCTGAGTATTTAAGGTTTGATACAAAAGTTCACTTTGCAAGAAACACACAGTTCTTATGATCAAGGACAGCTTCAAATTTTATTTCTACAAATATCATAAACAAATATGATGCGTATATGTTGCAGACATTATAGTCTTCCATGTTTATAAATTTCAGGATTTTGGGTTCTTCTCTCTCTCTCTCTCTCTCTCTCTCTCTCTCTCTCTCTTTCTCTTTCTCTACCTGTCTGTCTGTCTGTCTATCTATCTATGTATTTATCTATCTATCTATCCTCTCTCTCTCTCTCTCCATATATGTGTATAATTATGTATGGTTTATGCTGTTACATACAGGCAGAATCTCTTAAGTGCAAAGCGAAATGGATGGATATTCTTCACTTTTTAAATATTTGTGAGAAAGCTGAAGTAAAGGAGGGAAAAGACCCAAGTCTTTAGAGAGGAGAATGTGCCGTGCAAGACAACATCTCAGATAGATAATCCTCTAGGCATGGAAGCAATGCCATGCCTCCTTCACACAGCCAACGTTCAGTGCTGACAATGCACACAGCTCTGGACTTGGCACACAGGAAAGGAATGAAAATGCACATGCACTGAAGGGCATGGCCCTTCAGTTCCCCAACACTGAGCAAGAACCCCCATCAAACTAACTTGTAAGTGTTTGAGACTTTGGAACTTAGGGAGAGAAGAAGAGGTAATGGGAACAGGAAGTAGAGAAGAAAAGGTAAGTAGAGGTAAAGGGAAAGAAGTCCACACTTTGTCCCATCCAAAAGCCAGAATCATAGTAAACCACTTTTTTAAAAGGTTTACTGAACACTTAAATGTCCTGAATTCAATCATTTAAAAAATATTGTACAAAAATTATTAAATTAGCTTTATCTTCCTGCATGGTGGTGTGTATCTTCTAACCCTAGCACTTGGGAGTCTGAGGAAGGAGTATCACAAGTTCAAGGCCAGCCTGGGCTACATGGTGAAACCCTGTCTCACCCACTCCCAAAATCAGCTTTATTTTTCAATTACATAATTCACAAGAACATAATTCAAAAGAAAAACTTAAATTTGGTTGGAAAAATGATTTTCAGTTTCAGAGATTATAACCAATAAGTGAAATGGAAATTTTCCTTCTCCTTTGGCCAAGAAATCTTGGTTTGGGGAATGTTTTTCTAGAATTTAGAAATCTTAATGCTATCTCTGACTGCAAAGTTTTTCAGCATTTGGCATTCTCATTCAGCCAAAGGCTGCACAAAAATTTATGTGGCAAGAGAGGATCCAGCTAGGACACTTCACATCTGTTGAGATCAGATGTGCTCATGGAACAAAGCCTATTCCAAAAATTAAACTCCGCAGAAACTTGAGCAACACTTTCAAAGTAATTGTTATATTTGTAGCAAGAGCTGAATATTAGAATGTGTCCTTCCTTAATAAATTAGTCAATACATTTATGTGCATCTAAGCTGCTTTGATGAATGGGTTCTGAGGTTCTGAGTAAAAGGACAGCCTTGCCTGACAAGGGAAGCCCAGGTGACTCAGGTCCTGTTCCAGGTGCCTTCCTGGAAGCCTTTCTCCTTGACTCTTCATCTTACCATGTTACCTATCTAGACACACTTACTGTTATTTCATGGTGTGACTCAGATACAGTGCTGTTTTTCCCCACCAGGTAACTGAGTTGTGGGTCTGTTTACCATACTTCCTGACCTTCTGGGTGATCTGTTGTGCATCAGGATTTCACTTAAAAAATATTTGACCAGCTTCTCTCAAGCTGCTCCATAAGAGGATTTCTTCCCAAGTCACAAATCTATTCTGGATGCTAATCAAATATTTACAATGTACTTTAAAAAACCTCTCTGAGTGCTAATATGAAAAAAACAACTCATACTCATTTGAATAAGCAGAAATTTCTCCCCTCCCAAATTAAAGGCTTCTGAGTTCAGTTCAAATCATTTCCATGACATGAGAAAAAGAAAAAGAAAAAGGTGAATGAGCACCTGTGAAGCCCTATGTAGAATAAACTTGAGGAGCAGGAAAGAAATCTGTCCAAAAGTACAACATTCTTATTATGTAATTCACACTGTTCTCCCCCGGGCTTAAAAGTGAAGTTAGATACAAAATACTCACCTATTGAGCATTAAGCTTTGTTACATTTCTCCTTAACATGCAATGCTCTATCAAGCTACATTAAGACCCAGCATTTTCTACACAGTACCATATTATCTCACATTTTATTCATCAGATTTCTGAAAGAATTTTAGCAGGAAGTTTCCATTGATTGTATCCCCAAATAAAAATAGCACCAAAGTCTTTTTGCAACTCCCTAAACACAGTAAGGGAATAATGATCATATGCTAAAAAATGTAAAATGCAATTTGTGCTCTGCCCCATTTACTACAAAATCACGAGGAACAACGCATTTTGTGCAGCTCGTTGCCCCAGGGAAACTGGATGAGTATCAGGAATGAATCAAGAACATTGCATTTGAAATCAGCTAATTCTGCTTTGGTGCTTTGAAAAACTATTTGTTATGATATTACTTCCTGTCAAGCACACAATGTGATATTTTCCTCAATAAAGCTAAACAGTTGCGGTAATTCCAGCTTCCCTCATGTTCCACTTTTTAAGCACTAAATATTTAAACAATGCAGACCTGGAAGTCTCAAGCCAGTCATCTGATCCACGCATCTCCTTGCATGGTATAGTAACGTCTGTTATGTCACCCTGACATGCACAGTGGCAGCTGTCAAGGTCCTTACCTGCCCACAAGCCAGGCCCATTCCTCTTTCTCCCATGCCGTGTGGACATGACAAATTCAACTCCAGGGCATCTGCTCCAGAAGCCTTTAAGACATGAATGGAAAAGGAAGGAAAAGGCAGAGCTTTATTCTCATACCAATATGCTTTCACCATTGATAACAAAGGTAGCATTTGTCAAATTTGAACTACTCTATTTTCTGTCACAGCTACCCTCTGAAATACATTCTACGTTTCTCAAATTCAGGTGTGCATAATAACAACAAGAAGAAAACATTTATTCAGTGATTAAAAGGCTCTATGTACTTCATATTTAGTATTTCTAACTTTTACAGTCACTATATAATTATGGTAGCTATCTAGCTGATGGACAAGAGCCCTGAGGCAGAGGTTAAATGACAAGCCTGGTTATTGAGTCATAGTAGAGATTTTGAATCAGATCTATCAAACAGCACATTTGTTCTCTCCTAAACAATGTCTATTTTTATAGAAATGAATCTTACTAATTCTGGATTGTCAATATTGGTAAGAAGCATGCAAAGAGAAACATAGTAGGCTAATTAGAATGAATAAAATTAAAAAGATTTTTAACTGAGAGTCTGTTTTATCATATTTAAAAGCAGTTCATGCTAGGAAGCATGAATTATAGAAAGTTTTGTCTAACTTTAGTAACTACATAGGAATCCTTATTTAAGTCATTAATTTCTTGGTTTCAAATAAATCCTGTTAAAATGAACAAAAGAGTTCAGAGTACTTGAAGAATCTTAAAATTCTTGGAAAGTCTTTTGCAAAAAAAACTTTAAAAATAAATAAAAAACTCTTTAAATTTTAATATGGTAAAGTGGGGATGTAGCACAAACTTAACAATTTAAGTTTTCTGTTCTTTTATACGACTTCTAGAATTTCTCCAGTGGTACTGTTTCTTTGTGAATGAAGTCAGCTAGAAGCTTGAATCAATTTCAATAGTATTATAACTTGTCTATTACCTCCCAAAAAGACTTTTTCAAAAAAAAAAAGTTTACTATTCTCTAAGCAGATCAGACCTTTATGACAAAAACTGCCTCTTTGAAGTCTCTCTTTTCTTCCTTATTGTTCAAAGATTTTAGCCTATTTTTTCTGGCTTTATGAATCTTAAGAACACTAGTTAACTATTTCTTGGGCTATTTTCTGGCCCACCTTCATTTATTAGTGAGTCTGCTTTTTCTTCTTCATCTTTGTATGAGTCCATTTGATCATTCTACCTGTTTTCTAACATGGATTCAATATGGGTTTTTTTGGCTACCTTAATCCAATTTTAACTTGCTTTGTGTTATTTGAAAATTACTGTAAATCATGCTTTCTCCCTGCTGGCTTGGTAGTGAATGAACATAGACAAGATCCATCCTGCTGAAGTTGGAGTTCCAATCCTTGGTCTGCTGCTAAGGAATCAGGAAGCCTGAGCAAGGCAATTAACCTTCCTTGTCTCCAGCTCCTCACGTGTAAGTGGCAGATAATATGGCCTGTTTCAAAACTCATGCCATGTGGGAATCATCAGCTTAATTAAGATTATACATAGCAATTATGTGCAATATAATACTTCTTATTTTTCTTAGTTACTTACATATCTCCTTTAGACTTATTTATTTATCTGAAATCCATTAATTAATAGATAATCAATAACATTTTGGATTAGATAAACTTTAGTTGATAGCTGTGTACATGTTTACATTGTCCATATTTCCTTGCAAATTTACAATGAGCTCCCATTGCAGATCATTCTAACTATCATTAATTGAGTTCTTACAATCTGCAAGGGTACTTTACTACGTTCTTTGTATGTTTGTCTTACTTCATCCTCAAAACAACTCTAAAAGGTGGGATGTGTCACCATTCCCATTTTCTAAATGATAAAGCAAAACATAAAGTGTCCAGGTGATTTACCCAACATCCCACAGCTTATAATTGGAAGTAGGGTTTGAACCCAAGAATTTTGAATCCAGACCCTGTGTTCTTACCCACTATTAGGGTTTGTTAAAAACTATTTATTCTATGGCTGGAGTTGTTATACTGTGTTAAGAAAACCACAATAGCTTGACATCCATACAGCTTCTAAAGTTGAAGTAAAAATTGAATCTTTAAAAATTTCCATCCCATTCAAATTCTTATCATGGGTTAATTATTAAAATTTGCTGAATATCATGTACACATTCCAGCACCTATCAACCAAACTCCTGGGACAGCCTTTGAAGTGAACATCTAGACCTCAGAAACTGAGACAACACTGCTCAAGGGGACATCATGAGAGCAGAAGATTCATTCAGCTTCTGCTTGAATGTTCCTATCACCAGGTTGCACATCACCTTAAAAGACAGTTAATTTCATTGCCAAGAAACTATAACCATTCAAAAAGTCTTAACTGCAGAATTGGCATGAAATGTTAAACTAACTGAAACTGTGCATGCATCTGACTTCTGTTAGTCATAACCTTTTTAGTTTACTTAGCCTAGAATTTTTTCTACTTCACCTAAATGATTATTAAAGTAACTGAGTGAAGACAGTGACACAGGAAATATTATTTCTAATTTCCTATATTATTTATCATCCATCTATCTACAAGAAGTAGTGTGTTTTGTTAATAGAGTGAACTCTGGAGCCAGAGTTCATGGTTTAGAATTCTCCCTTCAACATGTACATGCTATATGAACTTGAACCCACGAATTAACTGTTTTCGCCCTCAACTTCCTCATCTCAAAAAGGTGGAAAACAATGGGACTAACTCATAGGGTTGTTGTGGTAAGATCTACATGACTTTAGTGAAAGTAAATGACTTTGAATAATGTCTAGAATGAATGAATTTAACACTGTATGAGTGTAAACAAATTCTATCATCTATCTATCTACCATATATCTATCTAATCTATCTGTTAAGTTCATGGTAAACTGGACTCTGAAGATAGGCTCTTCAGATCCTATATCTATCTATCATCTATCTATCTATCTATCTATCTATCTATCTATCTATCTATCTATCTATCTATCACTCCATCTCTCTAGTTCTGTGTGTCTGTCTACCCATCTATTATCTGTGTATTTATCTAGCTCCACTCTGTCTGTCATGTATTTATCTATTTATCTCATTATCTTCCCATCCATCCAACTAGAAGCTCTGAATTGACCAGAAAGGACTGACTGTAGCTCATGTTTACTTATATTGTCTATTCCTTAGAAGGGAAAAGAAAAGACAAGAAAAGAAAACTATTCTGGGAAATTCTTGAAATTGTGACAGTGATGTAATTTATAAAATTCTCTGATTTTATAAAAACTCTCAAGAGAAATCATGGCAGCAAGATCACAGACCTTTGTACAGTATATACAACAAAGTATATACAAAGCTCTTCTTTCTCTTCCCCTTCCCTTTTCCTCACCTCCCTTTTCCTTTCCCTATCCTGATCAATACAGTTCTGAAGTCATTGTGTGGGACAGAGCAAGGTAAGTGACCATGAGCATTTGAGGAGGAGACAGGAGGGCCCAGGGTGGGGAGTCAGCTTGAGGAGAGCGAGAATGTCTGCCTGGAGGATGACTTGATGAGATGTATCAGAGCCCCAGTGGAAGAGAAGGCTTCCATGAGTGGTGGGAGTTAGGGAAGAGCATCAGAGCCCAAGCAGGAGCATGAAAAGCATAATTCTTGGGTTCTCTATCAAGTCCTTCTGTTAAAAAAACGTATGAGGCGAGATGACTTTCTGAGTAACCTTTTCTAACACCTTCATCTAGTCCTCCCTTTTCTAAAACGGATAATGGAAATCCCTCTCTAGGATGGATCAGGTACACTGAACTGCCCCAAGCACAGTGGAGGCAAAGCTAGTTCCTGCCTCCCATCTCCAGCTTGGGTCCATTTCCCTGATTCTGTTCTTCTCTGCCTGTGTCCCTGTGTGCTTGGTGATGAGGCCCCTGGCTTCTAGGTACTTTATTTTGACTCTGCCAGGAAGAATATGTAGTTACCTCTGTTTGATGCCTGTGTCTCTTCAGAAACTTTCCTTGTCTCATCCAACCAATGATGGTCAGTGTTAGGGTGAACAAAAGAAAGCCACGTTGGAAGTGGACCCCCTCCCCCTTGAAGGTGAGTTACTGGAAGCTCTCCACCTGGCCCTAAAGAAAAATCAACATCCACCTTTAACCATTTACTAGAAGTTCCCCACCTGGCCTAGAAGAAATGACTTGCCCTTAAGCCATTATCTTGGGAATTTCAGAGGGCTGTTGGGGATTTTCTCAGCTAGTGACCTTCCTGGGACTTTGCTACCTACCTCGTATCTAACCCCAGTCTGTAAGCGGTTGTAGGCTCCAGCTCTCTTGCTGGGACCCCCTCCGCAGGACCGCTTCCACAATAAAACCCTGTCCTGGCATTGAGCTGTCTTCCCACCTGTCCATTCCACGTGGTGACCCCAATATGGGTCTCCACCCCCAAGGAGCTGGCTTTGTGACAAGTAGGACAGAGAAACCATTAGTAATGCCCAATGACACCATTGTGAATCACTACTTTACAGTGTTACACAGGAAAAGTGTGGGGTTTGTGCACAGGGAACCTGAACCTTAAATAATTTTGAAAATGCTCCTCAGTAAAATTAAAAATTATAGATACAAATTAGGTACAGGGGCTTGGAAGGAGTGTGTGTATAAGTAAGGGGCCTGAAACTTAAGCTTCTTTGACTTCATTAACTTTATGGTAAACTGAAGATAGGCTCTCAGAGAGTGAAGGATAGGGAGGTTTATCTACCTAGCCAGAGGACGCAGGGTTGAGAACATTCCAGGCCAAGGGGACAGCAAAAACTCTCTGTTGGGAATGCGTTGGAGGAATAAAGCAAAGCAGTGGGAGGACTGGTGATATAACTCAGAGAGGGCCTATGGGTTGGATTCCCAGCACAGCAACAAAATGAGAAGTCAGCGAGAGTCAAAATGTAGAGAATAAACCCAAGATAACATTAGGGAGGTGGCAGGAGTCAGACCCTAGATCAAGTTGAGCTTTGAACTTAAAAAGAAGAAAAGATTTTTCATTAACTGAGAGCAAAGTTAATGAAGTTATTGTAGATATACTTGGCTTGGAGTGGTAGTAATACCTATTACATCATACCTAGTCTAGATGCTTCCTCAAATTTCACAGTCTTACTTGCTACCCAGTGGCACTCTCTCGAAGTCCTGGTTCCTGTTGCTATCCTCAAATCTACTTGGTCAGCTATCACAGCCTTTTTCAAAATGGGACCTGGCTTTTAATCATATCCTCCACTATCCCTGTTGAAGTTGGAGCTCCAGGAGACCGAAGATCAAGAAGCTCTGACCCTTCCCTCTGATTCTGGGTTTGGATGAAGTACCATATTACATTGTCTGGGGTCTATCTCCCCTAGCAGTTGTCCAGGACCACTGAGGACGCAACTTTGTGCTGTGAAATTTTACAGGAGACAGGAAGGTACCAGTAAATAAATTCCTTATCCTTTTTCTCCTCTCAACTGTGTGAGGCAGGATGGTTCTGTATGGTACTTCCAGTCCCACATGACATGGCAGTCATCTCTATTTCCTTGGGAAGTGGTGGCAGGCTCACTGATGAACCACTCTGGGTTTGCTTTCCTTTCTCCTCTGGCTCATGTTCCCTTTTCCCTCACTCTTACAACTCTGGGACTGAATCTGTCAATAAACTTTTTCCCCATTAACTCCCATTAACTCAAGCTTTTCTAGCCTAAAACACATTAAGAAAATTGTATTCAAGATCTATTAAAATGTATTCAAGATCTACTTAAGATCCAATATTGGAAGGCTCCAGTAATGGTTCAATTTAGTACATGTATAATTACATATTTAAACTGAGAACACATCCCTCATCTTCATAAAACTTTTGCATGGAATCAGAAGATCTTATCAATATCCCAGAAAGGAAGGAGAACCTGTGATCAAATATGTAGAACAAGAAAATTGAGCATTAAACTGCTACTGATTATAGCAAAAGTTTCAACAAACTGTGAAAACTTTCCAGACACTGCTTCTTCCTCATGGTGCTCAAAAAAATGTGACAATTCAAAGCAAGCAGAGGAAAGTATAGGACATTTCAAGTATGTGCCTTTGAAGGTTAAAGTAAAAGGTCTTGTTCACTATGGTTCCATTTCCAGGAAAAAACAAATCTTCCAGAAAGAATATAAATATGATAAGGAAGGCAGGCTAGGCCTACATTATCTTTTAAAACAACATTTGCTTAATAAATTTAAAAAATGTACCTAGGTTCATTTTTTGAACTACTCATGCAATCTCAAATGTCTACTGGAAATAGTAAAACAACATGGCAAGCTCTGGTGAGACAAACAAAAAATAATGACCCATCCTGTCACAGATTTAAATTCTTACAGAGCTTGTAATCCTTTATTCTTGATCCTGTCAGCTATATCTGTTCTGTTACACATATGTCATTTCTGTTTTCAGATATAATACCTAAAACCATGGTAGGTTTCTTTATCTCAGTATTGTCTGATTAAAAAATTAATCTACCAGAAGGAGAGGGACTTTGTGACCTTAAAGCATATATACCACTTCAAGTCATTTGCTAAATCTTAAAACTATTGGCACACTAGTGTGCCGGTAGGGTGTCGCTTGCTGTTATTACCTCCCCCAAAGAAGTATACCTGTGAGGTAGTATAGTAACTTTGGCTGGAACCCATTCTTGTTGGTTTGTTTTGCTGTGGGCTCTTAGATTGCAAGAAAATGTTTTCATATGCATCTAAGAATGTATTTGTAAAAACAAAGTCAGACATTGACTCTAGAAAATGCTATTGGGTACCTGTGCATAGCTGTGATGCTAACTCCAAGGTGTGTGAAGGCCTGGGAGTATTTCCTTCATGTGATATCCTAGGCTACTTAGGTTACTGTGCACACATGTATGTGAATGGAAAAATGAGACCTGTCGAAACTGTTCCTGGAATGGGGGAGAGGGGATAAAGGAGAATGGTGGAGGGGGTCAATGAGATATTTGATTTCTTGTAAGAACTTTTATAAATGGCACAACGTACCCCCAGCACAACAATTAAAAAAAAGATGATAGGGAGAGTTTTTTTAATTGACATCATGAACCACTTGACCTGCCTGAAATGTAGATTGCTCTCCTGTAGAGAGATGTCACAGACTGCTGTGACTTAAGAGAAAACAGAGATTCTCCCCCTTCCCCACTTCTCTCCTCTCTTCCCCTTCCTCCCGTCTTTTCTCCCCTTTCTTTCTTCCTTCCTCCCCTCCTTTCTTTCTTCCTTCCTTCCCTCTCTCCTTCCTTCCTTCCCTCTTTCCCTCATTCCTTCCTCCCTCCCTTCCCTTATTTATTTATTCATTTACTTTGCTACAGAGCATTTAGAAGGTGATAATAAATAAAACTGCTATTTAAGAAAGGTATGGAATATGGAAGGTATCTTTACACTATATATTATGTTCCTAACTAGAGGCTTTTGTTTCTTTTGTAAGTAAATTCACCTATTTAAAAATTAATGCTCATTACTAGAGAGAATAATTTTTTAAAGTATTTTATTCTTATAGAAAGGCAGAGAAGCATGCAGTGTGATAAAGCCATTCATCATAGTCAGCTTAAAATTGGCAAAGCTCACTCCAAGCATGGGCTCTGTGGAAGATTTCATGGTCAATTAGGTAAATACATGTATAAAATGAACCCAGCACAGAAGATCACGAAGCCAATTACAGATCACGTTTAATTTCACCCCCCTAGGTCCCAGAAGTAATTTTTCCTCTTACAGTTTTAAAATACCCAAATAAAAGGTACAATCAACATTTTGAACACTATAGAGAGCATTATAGTATTATGTGATGTGGTGTCAGTTATTTCTAAAGTCTTGTTACATTCAGGCCTCTGTACTGCTGATAGCTTTTCGAGAAAAGCTAAGAGTGTCAGCCTGGGTTCCATGACAGCCTGATGGGCACAGGAGTACAATTTTAAGAATGTATTTTTCTATTTGAAATACAAATTTGAGGCACATGGTTAGTTGTTTGCATTTGTGCAAGATTCAATTTATATTATGGAAAACCTGCTGACTAGTGTTCCATTCAGGAGCATTCTGTCCTATTTTATGCATGGCTGTATTCAAACTAGAATAGTATTAAATGAACCTTTTATATTTTAAATATTCAAGAGTTTCATATTCAAAATTTCTTCTCATACTGTCAAACTATTTTGCCTAAAGGCAAGGTAAGATCAAGTTAGACTCTCAAAGGTAGAATTAAATTTTATCATGGCATCTATCAGAATATACAGTTTGCTTAATATGCAAATAGAGTATATAGATTCAGAGAATAAAGGATTTTTAGGTTGTGTCTGAAATCCAAGGGACCGCTTTTATAGAATAAATTCCTTTTAAATTTACATTTCCATCATTTTGATGAAAACACAGGGTAAACAAATTATAATAGAAATGTTTTAACTTACATTTTCAATTCAATTTTACTCCTACTGTATTATTTTTCATGGCAGCTCTTTATTCAAAACTAATAAAAGTGGGAGAGGAGAAATAAAGTAAATATATTTTAAAGAAACCATTACCTCAGCCTTTTTGGAGAGTTCCATCCAGTCATTTTTATTGTAACTACACATGATGCTGGCGATCAAAATCTTCAGAAAGAGAAAGGAAAGAATGTAAGTTCATGTAGGTCTGCTGTTCTACACAAAGATATACTAATATTTGCACACATGCATTAAAAACAGTCAACTATTTTAGAAAATAGTTTCAATGAGTTGGAAAAAATAAATCACTAGAAAATACCAGGGTGTCACAGGACAGCACAGGGTAACATTTGGGCCTTCATTTATATGCTAGAGATTTTCTCAATTACTATCTTTGAATACTTCAGCAAGAGACTTGACTTTATTGAACCTTGGATTCCACATTTCGAAAATGGAGATGATAACACTGGTTTGCCATCTCAGAAAGTGGCAGTGGGTATTACATAAATTTGTTACAATCTGTGTATGCAAAAAGGTTGTCTAAATTCTATAATGCCAAGGAAATGTTTATTAATATAGCTACTGGTACAGTTAAAAGGGTTCAAGTTATGGGGAAAAATGTAGCATTTTCTTCCAACATAATTTATCAGGCTATGTATTATATATTACTCTATGGTTAATGATAGCTCTTATATTCATAGTGTATTATAGTTTTCAATCACAGTAAACAAAGTCTTACAGTAATCCTGTAATGGAGGCCACACATGGTAGAAGCACCTGCTCTGAAGCTAGAATGTCCAGGATGGAACCCCAGCCCAACTCAACAACTGCTTTTTGGTGTAGCCCCTGCAAAGGACTGAGTTTCCCAGTTAGTAAAATATGGATCATAGTACTTAGAAAAGCAAGACTAGAAGTGGTTAAAACTTACATAGCTGTCATGGCGTACTAGGAATTCTTTTAAGGGTTTTTAAGTTACTAACTTCCTTTCTCTCCCCATTTTGCAGATGAAGACATCTATGCATCAAGATGTAAAGGCACAATGCTCTTTTGGGGGGTGGCACTGGGATTTGGACTCAGGACCTCATGCTTACTAAGTGGTGCTCTTTCCACATGAGCTACTTTACCAGCTCGAATGGCTCTTAAGGAACAAAACAGGACCGAGATCTAGGCAGTGAGACTGTCAGTGTTTGCTTTAAACTGTTGGGCTTTGCTACCCTAAAGTGGATACGCAGTAGTGACATGTACTGAATATCTACTTTATTATTCCCTTTCAAGACTATGAGTTGATGTCAAGCCTAGAGGCACAGAGTCTAGTGGCAGAGTCCACTAAAAGCCACTGTGCTCTCACCAAATGCAGCCTTTCACATACGTGTACAAAACTCACAAAGATGAGTTGTAAAGGTGTAATGGATATTTACATCACTGAGAGAAGAATGGAAAGCTGGCATCATGTGAGAGAGTTCTGAAAACAAGGAGAGAAGTTGTCTTCAATGTCGAGTTGCTTAGTCTCTCCTGGTGGACTCCAGACTCCAGAGAGCTGGGCCTGCTCCCCATCCTTTGTCATTTTCTCTACATCAACAAGCATGACATTTGGCACATGGAAAGAGGTCACCAAAAGCAGAGGGTTGCTTTATCAGTTCACCCTTTTAATAAGGTTAAACAGAAAGCAATAGCTCAGGTTGGAAGGGAAAAATAAACATTTGGTGAAACTGCTGGAAAATTATTATATATGCTGGAATGAAGAATGATCAAGGGTAAGGCAGGTGTCAGTCCTTGTGATTAAAAAAAAAAAAAAGGATCCTATGTCAAAATATGTAGAGAGAACAAATGAAGATGGGTCCAGAGATCCAATGTGTGAAACTGGGTGAGCATTGGTCAGATAACAGAACCATGAGGCACAGAAGGCAGGAGAATAGCAATTTGGATAGATATGAAAGGGTTACAAAGACAGGAGGGTAAGAGTCCATGAGGAATACAGGAATATCCAGCAAGCATCATCACTGTTGGTTTGTTTAGGATTCAACTTCTGTGCCTAGTGAAGTTGCAACTTTTGAGAATTTGGGAGAAAAATGTGAGCATGTTTGTCCCATGGCCTTTTATCTAGGGGCCAAAAGAAAGTGAAAAGTTGTATTTCAAGCTTTCTTTGCAAGCAGAAAGGGGTCATTATCGTGCTCATGCACTTCAGTGAGTGCTCTTTCTGCTCTTCCCAAGTTAATGAAGAGCTCAGGAATGCCCTTCAGCTAGAAAAAAGGATCACGGAAGAAGGTAAAATGGGACACCAGGTCTTCCAGGACTGGAGCTAATACTTCCTGGTGCGACTCTCCCTTTCATAGAAATGAGGAGGGGGAGGAGGAAGGGGAAGAGGAGGAAAGAAGAGATGGGGGAGGAGGAAAAGAGAAGGAGGAGGAGAAAGAACAGAGAAGGAAGAGGAGGAGGCATAGAAAAGAAGGAAGAGGAGGAGGAACAGAGAAGGAGGAGGAGCATGAGAAATGGAGAAAGAGGAACAGAGGAGGAGGAGGAGGAGAAGAAGAAGAAATGGAGAAAGAGGAACAGAGAAGAAGCAGGAGGAAAAATAGAGAAGGAGGAAGAACAGAGAAGGAAGGAGAACAGAGAAGGAGGAGGCAACAATTAAGTACCCCATTTGAAAAGAAAAATCAAAGAGGTGAATCCTGGGTTCAGGTGACATATTTTTATTGTCTTCAGTGCCCTCAAGGTAGAGCTTCAGTAAAAAACAAAAACAGCAAAACAAAAATCCTGACATCGGTTAAAGTAAGGATTAAGGGAACGGGTAGAGTCTTGAGGTTTGTAAACAGAACTCCAAGGACAGATTCGGATACAAAGACACAGACTCAAAAAAAAAGAGAGATTCTAGTCCTCAGATACCAAAACTAAAGTTTTTAGGGAGTTTCATTGCTTAAAAAAAAAAAAGACAAATAGAAACAACCAGAACCACAGAAACCACTTCTGAACATGCTAGAATAATCCCTTGATTTACATTCCTATATAAATATGAGGTGACTGCTCTGTCACAATCATGGCAGACATGGCTCCGTATCCTCTTCGCTAGGGGCGGCATGGGGCAGCATGGAGGGAGGAGGATCCTTCTGGTGGGAGGGGTCCCTAGAAAGAGGCTGACCACAGAAATCCATTGCCAGGGAAACAAGGTTTACTGCCACTGACAGCGGGAGATGATAGATACTCTAAGCTAGTGACTAACCCGGTTCCTCCTTTCTAAGTGGCAATTTTAATTTTGATAAAGCTATATTTGCTCCAAATTGAAATTGATTGTGCCAGGGTTGGTTAAAATCATGATCTGCCCTCTAGGTTGCTCAGAATCACGAGGAACTACAATTGGGCAGGAGGAAAAAGACAAATATCACCCAGAGTATTGTCCTAGACACATCAGTGCCATCAAACATCACTGATGAGGTGGCTGGATTTGATTTGGGGCAGCCTGTCTGTCACTGGGGAGAGGGTGGCCACAGGCAGATAGATACCTTATATTCTACAGAGGCAGGTTTTAATAGTGTGCTTTAGGCATCCAAGCACGACACTGTTATCCTTTTCCTGTCTTCTGAAAACAAAATTCACTGTCTTGCCCCAAAGAAACCCAGGCTGGCTTGGCTAAAACAGTGACTGGTTCCTCTGCCCCACTAAAGACCTAACACAAAAGCATAGGTTTGTTTTCTCATTAGTCCCTAAACTAGAATTAAATGTGTCCAGAGCTGCTAGTGACTTCTGACTCCTCACTTACTTACCTCCCTACCCTGCCCAAAGCTAAGCCACACTGAGGTGTGGGGCAAAACAAGAGCAGAGACAGAGGACAGTTGGAAAGTAGAGACAGTGGATACCAGAGAAGGGGTTGGATCCATATTGCAGTCACCTGCAAGGCCACTGCCTCACAAGTGTGTCTTTACATGAGAACTAGTAAATGCTACTTCAGACTGATTAAAAGTGATAATTAGGGGTGGGGCTATAGCTTTGTCATACAGCTCTAGCCTAACCTGGGTGGATTCAGACTCATAAAATGTGATGATTAGTCTGAAGTCTCTAAATATCAATATCTAAAACCACAGGTGGCTTGTAAAAATGTATAGCAACATTCTATTTCAAGGACATAGAAATTTTGGTCATTTTACCAAAATATTACTTTACTTTTTATTGAAAGAGTCTGGGATTTTTTTCTAAGAGTCAAGCTAAAAGATATTAACACTAAAAAGACACTGAGCATAATTTAGCTTTTCTTTGACAATTAGAAAATCCCTTGGCATTTTGGTTTTGCAGTATTAATCAAGTGAAAGAGGACAGGTTACTTTTCTTCCTATGAAAAGAGAATTGATGGATATTTTATATTGTGAAATACTATGCAATGTTACTAAAAACAAATGCTGACTGAAACATACTCTCAAATTAAACTTTCCCTCTATCAATATTTCACTTGATTTATGCTATTTCTAGTGCTACATTTTATATGGCTCATATTTTAAAACGTCATTGAATGAGGAGGTATATAAAAAGCCATATGCTACATAGTACTTGAACTTTGTTGTCCCTGACTGGTACTACTTCTTTTGGTACTCTGTTGGTGTGTTCCAGCTACGGCAGTTAAGCAACTTATAAGTGCTTATCAGTTAAGATACTGTGCTGGGTTCTGAATGAGATTCAGAAGCAAAGAGTTGAGACACTGACAAACACTTTGCTCACTCAACATTCAACCAATAATTCCTTGAGCACTGATTATGAACCAGTAGCCAGGTTCTGGAGGCCCAGGACTTTGGCCCTCCAAAGTAAGAAAACACATTAACAGGGTAATTTCTTCATCAAGATCATGGTCATGAAAGTAATAGCAGAGGAAACCATCAGGAGAAATGTCTGGGGTACAGAACCAAATCAGATAGACTGGCAGTAAAGGGCTCTCTTCTAAGTTGAGATCTGAGAGGAGAAGGTACCTCACACTGAAGACTGGGATGGGGAATTGAGTGAGAGCTGTCCTTGTAGGTCGAGGTGACTGCATGGGCAGACTATGAGGAGGGATGGGCATGGAATGTTCAAGAAAAGAGGGCTTCATGGATAAGAATGGTATGAGAGAAGCAGGCGGTCATCATATCTCTAGGAGCTTTTGAATCCTGTGAGAGTTTGAATTTTATCTTAGTTGTAATGGGAGGCCA